GTTAGCCTCGATGCCCCGCTGACTGACCATGAACCCCAAAAACTTCCCAGATCCTACACCGAAGGCACATTTTTCCAGATTGAGCTTCATCTGGTACTTTCGTAGAGTGGCGAAGGTTTCTCGCAGGTCGGCCAGATGATCGGTGGAGAGCTTGCTCTTGACCAGCATGTCATCGACATATACTTCCATGTTCCGGCCTATTTGATGATGGAAAACGGCATTGACCAACCGTTGGTAAGTGGCCCTGACATTCTTTAACCCAAATGGCATCACACAGTAATGGTATGTGCCTCGGTCGGTGATGAAGGAAGTGTGCTCCTGGTCAGATGGGTGCATCAAGATTTGGTTGTATCCAGAGAATGCATCCATGAAACTGAGCCTTTGATGACCGGCCGTGGCGTCGACCAGCAAATCTATGCGAGGAAGAGGGTAGCTGTCCTTAGGGCAAGCTCGGTTAAGGTCGGAGTAGTCGACGCAGAGTCGCCATTTACCATTGTTTTTACGAACCAGAACCACATTCGACAGCCATCTGGGGTAGTCCACATGATAAATTGTGTCTCAAGGAGTTTGTCTACTTTAGAAGCAATAAGATTATTGCGTTCTGGGTGAAAAATGCGCTGCTTCTGGCAGATAGGTCAGAAATGGGGCTCAACACTGAGACGGTGGCTGATGAGGGAGGGATCAATACCCGGCATATCGGAGTGAGTCCAGACAAACACGTCGTTGTGCTCGATCAGGAGGGCGGTGAGGTCGGTCTTGGCCTGGGGGGACAGTTGGCTGCCAATCTTGGCAATTTTTGCCGGGTTGGTGGGGTCGATGGAGACCTCGATAAGCTCTTCCACTGGTTCCCCCCTGACCAGCTCATCATCATCCCTGACATCAAGTCCTTCAATGATCATGGTTTCCTTAAGCTTAACTTCTTTAAGTGAGGCAACATAGCATTCTCTGGCTACAGCCTGCTCTCCCCTGACTATACCGACCTCCATATCGGTGAGGAACTTGACGGCAAGATGGAAGGTGGAGGTGATGGCTTGGAAGGTGTTTAGGGCGGTGCGGCCATGGATGATGTTATAAGCAGAGGGGCAGTCGACAACGAGGAAGGTGAGCAACTTTGTGGTTTGCTGAGGGTACTCGCCAATTGTGATAGAAAGATCGATGGAGCCGATGGAGGTCACCCGGTCGCCAGTGAAACCGACCAAAGAGGTTTGGAGGGGAGACAGACTTTCTTCCCCAATCTTGAGTTAGCGGAAGCAATTGAGGAAGATGATGTCTGAAGAACTACCGTTGTCGACGAGAACCCGTCTGACCTTGTAATTGGAGAGGAGGACGGAAATGACGAGAGGGTCGTCATGAGGATAACGGATGCCTGTGTAGTCGACGTCCGTAAAGGTGATAGGCTCGGTCCACTGCCTGGGATGTTTGGAGGGTTGATCCAATGTGGCTACTTCTTTGTCTGAGCCGTGCCTTATTTTCCTGAGTTCTGCCTGCTGAGCCGAGCGGGATGGTCCTCCGCACGCAAGCCCGCTGGAAATAACTCTGATTTCTTCAACAGGTGAGGCGGGATTACCTTGTGCCCGAGGTTGCTGTGGGGGGCGATCATGGCCTTGGTTAAGTTGGGCTGGCTGCTGGGGAGGGGTGCATCGGTGGTTGTTTCTGATGGGCTCAGTCTTTTGCCTCTGCTGAGGACGGGTATCTGTGAACCGGCTAAGACGTCCCTGACGTATTAAGGTCTCGACCTGATCTTTGAGGTTAACACAATCATCGGTATTATGGCCGTGATCTTGGTGAAAACGGCAATATTTAGACTGGTCTTTCCGATTGGAGGGGGTTCGTGATGGTTGGGGCCATTTGAGGGGGTAATCCCGCTGGATCTAATTAAGGACTTGTTCCATGCGGGAATTAAGGGGTGTGTACCGCTCGAACCGACCGGGAGGTCGGGCTGGTGCCAACCGGTCGGCTCGGGGGGGTTAGTTGGTATAATGCGGTGTTTGGTTATTGTACTGGGTGTTTCTAGCTTCTGAGTCTTTTCACTTTTCTCGGGAGGTCGGGTTTTTTGTTGTAAGGTCTTGGCAAGTGGCTAGGGAATCTTCTGCGTTCATGTATTTTTGGGCTTTGGAGAGTAGGGCTGCCATGGAGGTCGGGGGGTTCTTTGAGAGGGAGAAAAGGAAATCAGATGACTGTAGGCCGGCCATGAAAGCCGTAAGGATGACCTTGTCATCGTTTTCCGCTACCTGCAAGGCTTCGGTGTTGAAGCGAGTAACGAAACTGCACAGCGACTCCCCCTCAGTCTAACGGATATTGAGGAGTTGGGTTGCTGGGCGCCACTGGCGTTGGGCCCTTATGAAATGGCTGAGGAAGGAGTCGCTGAGGTGCTGGAAAGTGGAGACGGAGTTTGCTGGGAGTTGACTAAACCAAAGTTGAGCCGACCTCTTGAGTGTTACGGGGAAAGCCCGACACATGATTTCGTCGGGGAATGCATGGAGGATCATGAGGGTTCTGTAGGTCTCAAAGTGATCAACTGGTTCTGTTGTACCGTCGAAAGAGTCGATGGTGGGCATTTTGAACTTAGAAGGGAGAGGTTTGTCTCTGATGGAGGCAACAAACGGGGAGTTGGCTGTGGTAGATGGTTTATGTTGTATGTTCTACATGACCCCTTGGAGTTAGAGCTTTATGGCTCAGAGTCCCGCGTCCTAGAGAGGGATGCTGTCACCACCAGAGGGCAGCGGGGGCTGGACGCTGCTGGCCTCTCCTTCAGGAATTGGTGCCAGGATCGACGGTTGCGGGCCCCGGGGTGGCAGGTTTATACCTAGGGGAGGGGGTTACAAGCCTTCCCAGTTGGGTGGATTAGGCTGCGGGATAGTATGGCTCGGGGCTCGTTCTTGGTTGAGAGGAATGTCTGGAGGTGGTGGAGGGGGCACATGAAGGTTTCTTTGGAGTAGAGCATTAATCAGGGCTTGGTTTTGCTTGGCCATGCGGTTAATGCTGTTGGTAAGCTCGATGAAATATTGTGGTGGGTTGTTTGGATTGGGGGGGTCAGTCTGATGGTCGGCGGCATTATGGTGAGAAGCCATGGATCTAGTCGTGACCATACACTTTGATGGGTAGTAGGAAAGGGTTATTGGGACAGGGTCTCTAGTGACAATGAGCACAACTAGCGCACGGAGCAAAGTTTTCCCACAGACGGCGCCAACTAATGATACAGTTCGTGATGGTAGAACGGGTCGGACTGATCCACGATCCTTATGCCTATGTCCGAATGACCAAGCCCACCTGAAGACCTGCACAAGAGTTCAACGGGGAACGGGGAGTCCCCCAGCGAACCCTCCGACGAGCAAGTTAGAGAGAGAGAAGTGGAGTGTAGAGATGGAATAGAGATAGAAAAGCTTAACCTTCTACATGTTTTCGACGTCTGCTTATATCCTTTGGTAATCATTACGTTGTCTCTTCCGACCTGTCACCTTGGCCGAAAGTCTATGCTGTAGCTTACCTTGTTCAGGGTGAGGGCGTGTTGTCCCGACGGAGAGGGGTTATCGCAATAAATGCTGTAAGGGGGTCTCATTAATGGCGATGTGTAGTGGCAATAGCTTTGCAGATCTTTGCCTGCTGATGTGGCTTGCCCTTTTCTTGCCATGTGTCTTGATGTCATTGGTCTAATTGTTACATGGAGCTTCGGCAGTGCTGGGCTTCAGCATTTGAGATATGTGTTGGGCCCTAAATGATGGATTCTAATTTTTATGGGCTTACCCATGTCACTAACAATGACGTTGGACAAACATAATAGATTGTGAAAGTGAAAGGCCTATTATTGTTGGTATCGAAATAATTCTACTTTCTTTTATGATCTCAATAAAGAAATTTCTATTCAAGTCATCTGAGACTTATTTCATGGTCAGGAATCTTTAAATTGATTTCTTTGGAATATCTGGAATAATCCAATTACTATTTTCTTCTCCTAATACATTAATATCATCTTGATTTCATGAATGCATTATAGCCATAAAATTTCTTCATTTAAGATAACATTTCGTACTTGGATGATGTTAAATTGAATTGGGTAATAATCAATCACTACCGGTTTCAGAGTTACATGGCTTGTAAAGAGATAAGATTTGGGGTGGCTACTATGCGGGGGTGCACAGCAGCCACTGTTGAGCAGCCAAATGAGCCCATTTCAGAGTATTGTAGCAGCAATGCTCTGTACCAAAACAGAAACAAAGACGCACCAAAAAAATAAAAATAAAAATCCGAGAAACATGCTCAAAATTTTAGCAAAATCGTATTTCGATCTCTGTTAATCCATATACATATATATGCTGCTATAATCGTGTTGTAATTCAACATTATATTCTTTTTGTGTCTTTGATTGATTGGCTATGACCCCAAGTTTGGGTGGCAAAAGCTTTTCAAGTGTACTGCTCTCTAGTTTTGTAAAACATCAATTTTGTTGGTCTGTTGTCACACATTGTCTCAAGGGAAATGTGAAGATCAATAATGTCACACTTCAATTCCATTTATGTGATTTATCCACTTTGACATTGTATTCAAAGGGGACCCTTACCTGATTCAATGGCTTTCAGTTTTGTGCCAATCATTCAATGCAATCCATTGAACAGAGCATAGGATTCAACCATGCCATTAGACTCCATTTCCCTAGCTTCAGCAGCAAAGACATATATAAAGGTAATACCATAATTTTTTTTTGAAAAAAAAAAACAAAAAAAAAGGCAAAGAGAGGAAAGTTATTAACATGGTTAGGTCACATTGCACCAGTGAACTTAAATTTTTGTTCAATTAGATGACCTAAGATCTAACAGAAGATTTTGCCTTCGTTAATTTCAAAGACTGAGAGCATTTGTGTACCAATGCTAAGTGACTGAGCTAACACGTTGTTGATTTGAGTATGCAGATTTTGTTTCAGCTCTAGTGGTTTATGCCAAACTAAGAAACTCCATGGAAAACAAAAAATTATCACATACAACTGAACACATAACTCAAAATAGTAGTACAACTATAATTATCAAAAAAATAAAATAATCACAAGCTGTAACAGCATTCTATATATACATCACCTCTATTCACAAACAATTGAAAAGTTCTTGTTTACTGACAACACAAACACACACACTATACACACATGCCTTAAATTAATGGACTGAAGGGGGAAAAAAAAAGAAGGAAAATTGCCCATGTATACTCTCTATAAACACATAGTAGCCAATAGCAAACGACAAACACTACTCAACCAAACAAATGCACTCTACATGAAACAAGAAGTAAAAATACCATGCTTTTGGAAATCCTTGTATTTTCTGTCTTTTAGGTTCATAGTCCTTTTCAAATTATTTGTCTCTAATGTCACTCTTCGTTTCAGAAGAGACTGTCTTTGAGTTGGGCGATTTTCCAATGATAGCTTTCTTTGCCTTCACAAGTGATTGTTTCACCTTTGCTATAAAGTTATTTGATTGTTTTGACGTCTGCTTCACTGAAATTACCTCATCTGTAGGAGCTTCCTTGGAAGTTTTTGTGTCAGTGGACTCTGGAGTTGGAACCTCCGGTTTTGCAATATCCCCAGCTTCTTTTTCCTTCTCCAAGTTAGTTTCACTGGTTTGCACAGTTTCCTCTCCTTTCGCTTCTGTCTTGGATTTCTGGGACTCTTCAATTGGTTCTTTAATAGTACTAGTGGTGACTTCATCTACCTTTCCCTCCATCTCTCCATTTTTTTTGGTTTTAACTGAATTAACAACCTCATCTTTTATGCTTTCTTTTCCATTTTCGGCAATCAGTCCAATGTCTCGGGAAGTATTGTCTCCTTCCAAACATTTTTCAGTGACCTCAGTGGGAGAAATGGCGCTACGCAGCTCCTCAACTTTGTCTGTTTTTGGCTCGTCTGATTCCTTGGCAATGCCTTTTTTCTCTTCATTCTCTTCCCCAGTTTTGACATCCTTTCCTTCACTCTCCTGTTCAATCTTTCCTGATTCCACAACTTCCTCTTTTGATTGCCCTTCAACGACATAGGTTTCACTCAATTCTTTCTCAATTTGTTCAGCAACTTCAGATTGTTCTTGTTGCTTATTGTCCACTTCAGGAACTGGTTCAGGAATTTCTTCCTTTTTAGGCTCAGGTTTTGAATTTTCAGTATCTTTCACTACTACTGCAGCTTCGGATTCCTTGACAGGTAAAACCTCCACTTGCTCTTCTGATTTCTCAACAGCTTCAACGGATGTTTCAGATGTATCATCCATCTTAGGCTGCTCCTCCAGTTGCTTCTCAACGGACTCTACTGGTGGTTGCTCTTGTGGCTGTTTTTCAACTGAATCGATTGTTGGTTGATCCTCTGGTGGGCTTTTAGTGTTGTCAGTTACAACGGGGCTGTCTGGTTTATCTTTGACTGAAACATCCAAAACAGGAGCATCATCAGTTTTCTTTACTTCTTCAGCTATAGAAGGCTTAATCTTCTTATACTTTTCTTCTGATTCACATGAAGGGGCAGTCTGACTTGGCAATGCCTCTGCTTTTGCTTTTTCTTCCTCTCCACTGCCATTGGATGGAGGCAAACCCCCCTGTTCAATTTTTTTCATTTCTTCATTCGGCTTCTCGACGTGCTGCAATGATTGCAAATTTGATCAGCATTGAACTAAGAAACAAAAGAAAGATTCATGTTTTTGGGACAATTGCAGATCAGTGGGACAGTCTACAAAAAAATTGCACCGTATGACAATCTTTTTTATGCAAATCTGACATATGAAAGTCACGCATCCAATGCAGAAAAAAACTTGGATCAAACTCAGGACAGACTTGCAGTTTGTGATAATGAAAAAAAAAAAATAAATAAATAAATTCCACCGTGCCACTGATTTAAGATTTCCTCTATGCTTTTGTCCATCTTTCATGGTATCTCAAACATTCGGCTTTTCAAATAGAAGCCTCATGTGCGGTAGAGAAAATACAATCGACCAATTTTAATGAGTTTAAAGAGTATGGGAACTATGAAAGGAGCTATTTGGGAGTTTGCTACTGAGCATTTGGAGGAAGGTGTGTACACATCCCACTTGGAAGCTTCTTATGTGAAGCTTACAAGTGCATAGGTGATGTTCTCTGCTCTCTCAACAAATAAAGGGCAGTCCAGTGCACAAAGCTCTCCTCACTTTGTTTGCAGAGTCTAGGAAGGGTCAAATGTACATATAGCCTCTCCGCTCTCCAAACTTAAGTATCTATTTTAGGTACAACCCAAAACTGGTTGATCACACAACAATGGTTTCTTTGCTAGATCTTAGAAGTACTCAAATCATTACATTACCACTCTATATTTTTTGAGAGGCCTCTGAAAACTTCCCATATGGTTAGTTTTGCATACATGAATCCTGATTTCAAACTAAACCTACAGAGACATTTCAAATACAGAAACATCACTTGTAATTAATTGTGAATTAGGAAAAAAACGTATATCCATAAAGAGAGAACCTCTCCTCTGCCATCCTATGATCCATGCCTGGTTTTACCATGCGCAGTAGAAAAATACTTTCCAGGAGATGACAAATCTTTGAATTCAAACTGAGAATAGCCTTAAAAATCTTAAAGCCTTCTGAATTTCATATACAAAAGACTGCTCTGCCATATTCTTCCAAGTGGTGCCAAAACTAGCTTCTTTCTAATAGCAAAATAAATTCATGGTATTAGGGGTGGTCGCGGATCTGGTTGGGTCGGGTGGCATCTCATCTGCTCTTTGTTCAAAATTAGGCGGATTGAAAAAAATCAATCTGTATCCGTCCATCAGTTTGGAGAATGCGCGGGTTGGCGGATGGATGTGATCTATTTGGCGGTTTAGACTTCACAAATTTTGTGCATTTTTTTTTGAATTATAATTCATAACTTTTACAATCTCCAATAACTAGTACTCTGAGAAAATGTATTATTTGCCTATAATATGTCATGACACCACGCATGTATACTTTTAAGGTATTATTTTTCATTTTCACAAAAATATATATTTATTATTTCTATTTTATGTTGTTATTTATTTGTTAGCAGTTTTTTTTTTTTTTTTGAACTTCATCTACAGGTGAATTGGGTTCATGTTAGTGCGGAATGGTTGATCCGCCATCCAAACCGTATCCGCAGATTTTGAATTATTTGATCTGTATCCGTCTGCCGAAAGACACATATCTGCCCAAAATCAATTGGGTTGGATCGTTCGATTGGATTGGGCCGGTTGGACAGAGCCATGATCACCCCTACATGGTATAGATGTTCAAGCTGATTTGCCAACATAAACAAATCTAAATTGGGAGGTTTTCTATGTAGGCCTTGTCCAAGAATTCGTAATCATGACCAAAGAATTATACCCTAAAACTGAATACTGAAACAAATTTTTTTTGAATAAAATCAAAGTGGGTTTTGCTCAATAGATCTATAATCATGGCATAAATTCATTTTCTTCTGCCTAAAGGTGACCATATAAACTAAAACGCATGTGGGTTTTGCTTAAAAACATTATTTAGAATAAGAAGATGAAAACCCACATAGTTCAATTACTTACTAACATAAACTCATATATACACATATACATGCGTATATCTATTATGTACTAAATCAGAATCAACCAAAGAAACAGAAGAAACAAGAAGTTTTTACCTCTGGGGCAGTAGGATGATCTGATACAACAGTACTCTCACTAGCCATGGATGTGAATTCAAGAAATTAGACTCTTCTAGTTTCTTCAGAGGTCCAAAATTAACCAAGGAAAGAGGAAAGAGGAAAGAGGAAAGAAGAAAGGGTAAATAGTTTATTGCTTGGCAACCAAGAAAAAAATTTAAAAGGAATTTAAATGGAGAAAGCAGTGAATGATGCTCACATGATAGATGATCTGTCAATAATGAGTGGGAATGCTTTTAATAGAGCAATAAAAGAAATAAATTTTTTTGAAACATCAATACTACAGATTCACACATAAAAATTTAAAAATTATTCAAAATTTAACATTAATAGCTTAAATTCATTTCATATGTGGATCCCATATTTTATCAATTCAATCTCCACCACACATGCCCATTTCTTAGTAAATTGTGGGACCCTAGTTTTTTTGTTTTTGAAATAAAAAAAACAACGGCACTTATCCGCAGGCTTTCTTTGCACAGTTTAAAACTCATCTAATCTCAAAACAAAATATTTGTATCAATTATTTATACATATTTTTAATTATTACTAAAAAAGTTATATAAACATATATATATATATATATATTTTTTTTAATTTAAGGATGTTGCACATCTCACTATCGTCGGACTTTTGCTGGACTTCCATTAGGCAATTACTAAAGGATCACCGAAATATTCAACATTGCCGGGAAGTTGTTAGAGTATCGCTGAAGTGTTCTAAATATCACCGAAAGTTGCCAAAATGTCCAAAGCGTCGTTGGACGTCAACATTGTCGGAGACTCACCGAAATGTCAAGAATATTGCTGAAAAAAAAAATAGAGAGAAATTACAGCGAAAAACATAACAAAATTTGCTAATATTGACAAACTAAAGAGGGGGAGGGGGAGGGGGGGACAGCGTAACAACAAGAAACAACAATAATAAGGAAAAACATAAGTTGTTTTTCAATTTTTTGTAGGATTTAAGTAAATAATATCCGATTGATCAAACTGAAAAGCATGTTTTGAAACTGTAAATTTTTTTAGCATTTCTCTTTATTAATCAAATTAAAAAAACATGTTATGAAACTGTAAAATTTTGAAGTAAAAACATGTTAAAACTTTTTTTTTTTACAATTTTAAAGCATGTTATTAAATTGTACAAATTTTGCAATTTTAAAACATGATTTATTTCAGCACTTGAAAAACTGAAAAAAAAATTACAGTTTTCACCGCCTATAACTAAACTAAAAAAAAAAAGTTTAGAATTTAAAAAATTCCCCATTAAAACAGAAAAAAAGAGACGTGTGTAATAGAGAAAAAGAAGAAAAATTAAGAGATCGAAAAAGACAGACAGACATAGAGAGAGAATTCTACTATGACAATTATTTATTTATTTATTTATTATTTTTTTTAAAATCTGGTCAGATCTAAAGTAAATCTACTCATATCTACTCTAAAATCAACCAGTTTGCCACCTCGGCCTGCTTCCACCCCATCCCCAACACTAACTCGATTTGCCCCTCCCTGATATGATACAAGATGAGAGCGGGAGATTATAAACACGTCCCAAATTTCCATCACCAATCATCATTACATGTAATGGTGAGACATAAAATGATAAATACATTATGCATCTTAGTATGCTTAAAAAACATTATATTTTTCATTTTTTTTTTTTGATAATCGGGTATCTGAATCAGCTTACGCACACATCAATTAATTTTGAGGGACCAATCCCATCATCCACGTGTAGACCCTATTTAAAGTAAGGGCAAATGTCCGAAACTTATTACTACTTGTAAGTATTGAACCTGAGACCTATAGAAAGACATCCCATATTCCAAATTTTGCCCACTAAATTAACCCCTTAAACTTAGCATTATTTTTATAATAAGATATAATTTTTTTTAAGTTTATTAATATATGTTTTAAGTGTGCATGAATATTATATATAAATGTAATTATTCTAATATTGAATTGCAATACATATCTTATATTGTGTAAAAGAAAATGTTATGGGTCTTAAATTTTCTACCAAATAAATGACCAAATATGTCACATGAGTGTGGGACATTACCTAGTGCAAATTTAATGTCCTGTTCAGTGCCAGTGTCACCTTATTGAGGTGCATTAAATTTACATTACAATCTGGACCAAATCTTATTTGTTATATTATGACATTAATGTCTCTGTGCATTTATGGTAAATGCTCACAATAAAATTAAACAAATAAATTTTGGTGAATTCCACAGATGACCTCTGACATATTATTTAGAGGATAACTAGAGATTCATATTTAGATCTTTAAATTCAATCAAAACAATGTGATAATAGACTTTAGTTTCATATTATTGAATGCCTAACAAATAAAAAGTTGACATTTAACATGCAATATTTTTTTAACTCAAATTATACAAATTTTTTAGAGGTCTACATAAATTTATGTAAAGAAAGTGTTTTGAAAATAAATTGAAAGTTAAAAAATAAATTTGAAATTGGCAGAAAACGTTTTGAAACCAATAAAAAATGAGTTTTGTTTTGTTTTGTTTTTTTATTTTTTTTTGTCTTTTTCTTGTTAGCAATAGATTAGCTTGCTTAATGGTGGTTCCATTACGTAGGTAAAGGACCAGCTCAATAGATTATAGGGAAAATTTTGTGATTCCTTCCTTAAAATAAGTTCATAGTAGATCAAGTCCATGTAAAATAGAAAAATTCTCCCGTATGCAATGCACACGGTATATATTCCTACTGTAAAATTACGTAAATTTTCACGAGCTTACATAAGTAATTTCACAAAAATGTGTAAGTTGAACACAAATTCTTGTAAATTCACAAAATCACGTAAGTTTTCACGAACTTACACAAATTTATTTTCAACTTATGCATTTTTGTGAGATCACTTATGTAAATTCGTGAAAACTTACATAATTTTGTAGTAAGATTGCATACGATATGCATTGCACACCGGAGCATTTTCTGAATAATGTTCAAAGAAAAAGAAAAAGTCCCTTAATTATTAAACTTAGGGGAACGCCTATGCTGTTCACCATCCTAGGAGTGCATACAATATGCACTCTATCATAAATTGACATAATTTTATAACAAAATTTCGTAACATCATAATTTTGTCATAAATTAGCATAACAAAATGTCTAAAATTTTGTGATTCATGTTAGAAAAGTTTGTGACTTGAATACGATACTTTTTGTTACACCAATTTATAATAAAATTACACATTTTATAATTAATATTATAAAATTTTATAATAAAGTTACGTTAATATATGATAATAAACATATGATATGTACCCTTAAAGGGTGAACCCCATACGATTTCTCAAATTTTAAAAATTGAGATGCGTAGTCTGCACTTTTATATACAATTATGACTGATTTACCCTCATGAAATTTTACCACATCTCTCCATCAAGCCTAAATCTCCGACAATTCAGTGGTGTTGGATCTAGTTACTCCACTTACTGGAGCAATAAACTCATATAAACCCATGGCCATTATATTATGTGGCTAGTATATTCAGGGTTCTTTTGGGAAGTAAAAAAAAAAAGGTCAGCTTTTAGTTTTTTATCTATTTTGGATCACATCACTTCTCACATTTTTTTACTCACAAAAAAATAAAATGGACTAAAAAAGTCAAAAAATTAACTTTTTAGCAACTTCCCAAAACACCACTCTATTGGTAAATATAGTTGCATGTACATATAGTTGATGTTTCAATTATTATGGGTTCTTGAAGGACTAATATGTATATATTAATCTATGTTTTATGTACTCAGATTGAATATCAAATAGAGCAACTAGATTGAAGTGTTTGAATTTCTAGTTATTATTAGGATTACTTTTATAGCAACATCAATTTATTAGCAACATCAAATAGAGCAACTAGATTCATATGTTGTATGTACTCAGATTGAACATCAAAAATTTTATTTCATATAAATTCGAGTATGCAAAATATTAATCTATGTTTTATGTACTCAGATTGAACATCAAATAGAGCAACTAGATTCAAGTGTTTGAATTTCTAGTTATTATTAGGATTACTTTTATAGCAACATCAATTTATTAGCAATATCAAATAGAGCAACTAGATTCATATGTTGTATGTACTCAGATTGAACATCAAAAATTTTATTTCATATAAATTCGAGTATGCAAAAACTAATGATTAATTTGAAAAGATTACTTAATTTCGAGTTTTATATGTTTTTTTTATAATTTTAAATTGGCCAATATTTAGTCAATACTAATGATTAATTAATTAATTAATTAATTTTTTTGCAGATGGTTTTTGACGTACAAATGTGGATATGACTTTTTTTGACAAGTACGGAAGGGCATTGTTTTTATATCTCTGTCTGTATATATAGTGGTTCATACAAATTAGTTTTTTGGCATGGTAAATATCCAAAATTTGGCCTGATAGAAATTAGCATTGGACGTGGTACAAATTAGTTTTCGGGGCGGTGCAGAATAAATTTTTGATGTGGTATAGATTTCCTTTTGGATATTAAATTTGGTTAATCCTCTATTATGTATGGAATTAAATTATTCGGGTTGGATTATACTTGGTTTGTATGACATTTGTATTACATTTAAAATTGGACGTTGAATATAAATTTTTTGGATGGTTGGAAGTGAAATGTGTGCACGTTGTTGAATGGTTGATAATATATTCAATATTGATGGATTATATTGTTAATATAGGGCTAATAATGGATACAGGTGGTTCAGAAATTAAAAAAAAAAAAATTAATATAGTATATGGTGACTAAATATGTTGGTAGCAAAAAATGTAAGCAAATATTTTGGCGACCAATAATTTAGTAGCAAAAAATAACCAAATGGCTTTTTGCGACCAAACCACATAATAGCTAAAACAAATCAGAAGGAGGGAAGTTTAATTGCCGACTAAATATTTTAATCACTAAAAACATGACATCCTTTGGCGACTAAAGTGTTTGGTCGCTAAATGTACATATTCTATTAGCGACTAAAATTTTAGTCTCTAATAGTTTAATTTAGTTTTATGTGAGAACTTTCGGCGACTAATATTTTAGTCGCCAAAAGATACTTTTGCTAACTAACCAAAGTTTAGTAGCCAAAAATTCAATTTCGGCGACCAATAATTTAGTCACCAAAAGATCATCTTTCCCG